AGGCGAGGGCGCAGCGCGGGCCCGGACGGCGCTGTCGGCGCGGCGCTTCGTGGTGCTGCTCGTCTTCAGCCTCTACTCGCTGGTGAACGCCTTCCAGTGGATCCAGTACAGCATCATCAGCAACGTGTTCGAGGGCTTCTACGGCGTGTCCCTGCTCCACGTCGACTGGCTCTCCATGGTGTACATGCTGGCCTACGTTCCGCTCATCTTCCCGGCCACCTGGCTGCTGGACACGCGGGGCCTGCGCCTCACCGCCCTGCTGGGCTCCGGCCTCAATTGCCTGGGCGCCTGGGTCAAGTGCGGCAGCGTGCAGCCGCACCTCTTCTGGGTCACCATGCTGGGCCAGTGCCTGTGCTCCGTGGCCCAGGTCTTCATCCTGGGCTTGCCCTCTCGCATCGCCTCGGTGTGGTTTGGGCCCAGGGAGGTGTCCACAGCCTGTGCCACCGCCGTGCTGGGCAATCAGGTAAGGACTGGGGCACGAGGGGGACGTAGAATGCTTAGAGGAACCAGAAGAGCCTAGGCCTTGTGAGCTCAGGCCTAGGAATGGGTCCCCGGAGGCGTCTACATGAAGAGACGCTGAGGAGTTGTAAGGTGTTTTGTTTTTTTTTTTTTTTAAGACAGGGTCTCACTGTAGTGCATGCTGACCTTGAATTAATTACCTAGCCAGGCTGGCCTGGAACTCCTCTTGTCTCGGCCCCTCCTGAGTGCTGGGGTTGTAGCCATGCGCCACCGCATCTGCTAAGAGGCCGTCTTAAAGGTGGCTTTTGATTTCTTTGTAAGGACGGAACTTTCAAAACTAGTTTAAAACTGTCATGTTGCTTTGAAAATTATCCATAAAATAATTAACTGGATTGGCCCGTGTGTACGAGTGTCAGAGAAAGCCCGTCAGTGTAATAATGAGCCAGAATTGCACAGGAAGTATTGTTGCCCCCAGGAAGGAATGTTGGATTCTGCGAAGTTTGTTTGCATGTTAAGCGGTCTTAGTGAACAGCCCCTGTTTAATTGTGTATGTTAACAGTCATCGCAGAGCCTGCGCATGGTGGATGTGTGTAAAGGAGCATTAAATAAACGTCCCAGTGGTAAAGACTTCACAGCATTACTGGGTCCAGTTACTGCGTTTTTTTAGTAGGACAATGCACAACAATCCGTGGTCGGGGAGGGTGTTGCACAAGGCCAGCTGATTTGCCACGTCTCCTAAGAAGTGACCTAGTCTTTCCCAACACAGGATTCCAGTGCCCTTAGCGTTGCAGAAGCCTTACCACCTAGGTAGAATGTTTTGCCTGTGCTTTGTTGCAGACTGATTCTCTTACTGAAATTTAAATTCTGCAAATGAGGTCCTGTGACACTTTTTGTAAATTATATTGAGTGTTCATTCAACTAGAGGGGCCACCAGTTAAAAATCTACACACCACTTTTCCCCTTAAATGTAATAGATGTAAATTGCTGAACAGTAGCATTTTAGAATGCTTTATTTTTTTATTTTTAGGCAGTGCTGGGGTATCATCCCAGGGCTGCAAGCACTGTCAGGCAAATGCTTTGCCTCTGAGCCTCACCCTCAGCCCACAAATCTGAGCACCAAACAATACAACATGTAGCTATGTAACAAAAGAATGTTACCTTCTTCCTTCACATCTCACACTTGTTTCAAGATCACAGGAAGATTTATTTAAAATACCTGAAAAGATTATATGCTTATTGCTTTATATATATATTACCTTTTTCAAGTATAGAAAAAGGGTAGCTTGAACCATAGTTGCTGTGCACCCCAAACAATTTATGACTGAATCTTTGGTTGGTTGCTTCTGCATTCAAGATTAATACTTCATGGAACATGACAGAAATATCAGCTGCATTATTTATGGATTATTGGTTCTGTGCAGATAAGTGGAAATGTGTACCATACCACACAGGCAAACTTCCCCACAACAGTGCACTTCTGGGTCTTCCTTCTGCATTCTTTAGGTTGTCTCACCCCTTCCTTGCCTTTAAGAACTGTGCTCATTACTCCCAAGTATGCTTTTTTTGTGTGTGTGTGGTGGTGGTTGTAGTACTGGTGATTGAACTTAGGGCCTTCACATAGCCAGCCCTTTTTATTTGAGAAAGGTCTTGCTGAGTTCCCCAGGCTGAGCTTGAACTCCTGCTTTAGCCTCTCAGGGTGCTAGAATTACAGGCATGCACTGGCCCACCTAGCTCCAAGCATGTGTTCTGAGCCTAGTTTATGGAGGGCCATTCAGGACAGTATTCCGAATTACTGAGTGCTTTGTGTGCTCTGACATTACTTTAGTGCTCTAACCTATGAACTATTAGTCCCATTTGGTAGATAGGGCGACAGAAGCTTGAAGGGATTGAGGTATTTTCCTAAGGTCACAGCTAGTTAGTGATGACATTCACACTCAAGTCTGACTCGTTTATGAAGCCTAGCTTTTAACTTCTTATCTATCTTGTAGGTATCTAAGCAGAAAGAACCTTTTAAAACAGATCAGATCATGTCCCTGCTCTGCATTGAACTTGCCAGTGTTTTCCCATAGTATTTACAATGTAGATTCTTTACTTTTGATATAGGGGAAATAAATGTAACCCTTAACCTGTTAGATGTTAGGCACGCTGAGTTTATGTTTTCTAAAATCGAAGAATGAATTCTAACAACGGAGGTTAAGAGTAGGAAAATTTTATTGAGAGATATGGCTCCTGAGAGACAGGAGGGGACCTGAAAGTGGGTTGTTGTGGGCCTCACTTCATAGAGCAAAATCATGAGGTGGGTACAATGTGGGTTAAAACTATGATCAACCAGTATGACTACAGTAGAGCCGCTTAGGTGGTATTGATCTAGCAGTGGAGCAGGTCATGCAGCAAGTGTGTGCATGGAAAGAACAAAGACCTTCTTTAGGAAGGGACGGATCGGGGGTCTCGATCACCCACTGGGGTGACTGAGGTCTGTCTAGACTTCATTGAGCCAGGGTGATGCCCGTGATCTTATCCACTGGGGAGGCGTGTAGGCCTGGTCCCCTCTGTCTTTATCTTGAGGCCTGGCTTTTAACAGATGGGTCTCCAGCCACAGTTGTAATGTGGTTTTTTTTCATTCTCTGTTGACTCCCTGCGGGGCCTAGCCCTCCCCAGAGCCTAGAGCCTAGTCCCTTCCACCCGCCTTCCTGCCTTAGCTCCAGCCAACTATCCACTAAAACTGTGAGCCCAAATAAATGTCTTGTCTTTTAATTTATGGGTGTTGGGTGTTGCGTCCCAGAGAAAAGAAAATGACCAGGACCTGGCTAGAAGTTTTTCTTGAGCCCCAGGTCTGCAGGAGGTGCATCTGCAGTCTCTGAGTTGGAAGAGCCTGTGCCCATTTTACTTGGGCTAGTCCCGGGGTGCATCCGTTGTCTGGCATAGTGACCCAGCGAGTCTCTTTTTCTCCATTGTTCTGGTTTGGATGATAAACTTTGTGATCTCCCAACCTTTGACTCTACTTCTCTGTCACAGGATTTTAATTCCCTGTTCTCTCTCTCCAGCTTTTGGGGGAAAGAACGGAACAAATAAGATGTTTGGTAACTGGTATTATTTCTATCTCAGCTTCTGTAGATTTCTTGGCCCTTCCTACTCACTCCCATGCCCCACAAAGTCATATTTCCCACTACTGAACTGTCTCATTCTGATTTTACTTCTCATATTGTGGTATCCTTGTTTTCTTAGTTGAGATGAAATTCATGTAACGTGAAATTAACAATTGTAAAGTGTTCACTTCACTGGCGTTTAGTACATTTTCAGTGTTGTGCAGCATTGTCTCTGTGGTTCCAAAACACTTTGATCTTGGTTGTGGGGAGAAAGGAGCCCTTCTCCACTGTTGGTGGGAGCGCAGACTGGTGCAACCGCTATGCAAATCAATACGGAGACACCTCAGAGAACTAGGTTTAGAGGTTCCATTTGACCCAGCCATCCCTCTGCTGGGTATCTTTCCAAAAGAATTAAAAGAATCGTATCACAGTGATATATGTGCACCTGTGTTTATAGCGGCACAGTTTGTAATAGCTAAAACTTGGAAACAGCACATTTGCCCATCATTTGGAGACTGGATAAAGAAGATGTAGTTATTCTATAAAATGGAGTACTACTAAAGTAGCCATAAAGAATGAGAAATTAGAGTCATTCATAGGAAAATGGATACATATTGAGGATATACTCCTAAGTGAAATAAATAAGTCACACATGTATAAATACCAAATAGTTTCACTGGTGTGAAAAACTATAATGGTACATAAGATCCTAATGATATAATTGACAATGTGAAATAGGAAAAAAAGGGCTAAAGGTGTAGGGAAAGTGGGAAGGGTAGGGGAGAGGTAATAAGGGAAAAGAAAAAAAACATGAGAAAATGAAAAAATGGAAATAAAGTCTTTGTAAATAGGGAAGGGGGAGGAGGGGATTAAGGAAGGGAAGGGACAAGGGGAAAAAATGAGAACCAAGACCTGTCATGTAAAGGTACAAGATCCCAATGATGAATGTAACTGTACTGTATACCTAGAATGTACCAATAAACTCAATGAGAGAGAATAAAAAAAGAATACACACAAAAAAACAAAACAAAACACTTTGATCTACCCCTAAGTTACGCAGTCACTCGCTCTTCCCTCCTCCATCTGTCCCTGGTAATCATTAATCTGCTTGATCTATATGGATTTACCTATATTATCTTTGCTTTTTTTTTGGTACCAGGGATCGAACTCAGGACCTTGCGCTTGCGAGGCACACAGCAGCACCACTGAGCTAAATCCCAGGCTCATCTGCATATTTTGTATAAGTGGAACTATACAATATATGACCTGCTTATGTCTGGCTTCTTTCACTTTCCATGTCTCTGAAGTTCCCGTTGTACCAACGGTATCGGTACTTCAGTCCTTTTTTATGTGTACCTGTGTACCACATTCTGTTTATCCATTTATCCACTGATAAACATTTGCCATATTGTCACACTTTGATATCGTGAGTAGGGCTGCTGTGAATATTTGTGTGTATTTATTTGAATACTTGTTTTCAGTTTTTTAGATACACACCTAGTGGAGGAATTGCTAGGTCATATGGTATTATGTGTTAAAACTTTTTGAGGAATGGCCAAACTTGCCCACAGTGGCTGCCCCTATTTTACAGTCCTATCAGCAGTGAACCTGGTTTCCAGCTTCGTGTTCTTCTCCACACTTAACTTCTGTTGTTGCTTTTGTTATTATAATCATCCTAGTGGGTGGAAGGTAGAATCCCACTGTTGTGATTTGCATTTCCCTGATGACTAATTTTGTTATTCATGCAACAATGTTCATTGGCTATTTTTATGTCTTTGGAAAAAGATTTCTTCAAATTCTTCACCCATTTTTAAATTGGGGTTTTATCTTTTTGGTGTTGAGTTGTTAGAGTTCCTGATTCCGGATGCCAGTCCCTTATCTGATACATGATTTGCAAGTATTTTTTCCCATTCTTTTCTCAGCCCTATGTAATATACTCATTCCTCTTTTTGACCATAAGCATCTAAAGAACAAGGCTGTATCTTACACAGCTCTTGCAGAGTCATTCAGATAGTGGAGCTCAGTGCTGTTGATAGGAAAGGGATTTGTCAGCAGTTTCCTTTTAGCAATGCACTAGTAGCAAAGACATTTGAACATAGTGTTTAGAATTTACAGTGCCCTTCATAAACACTAGTTTGTCCTCCTTATGTTCTACTAAGTACCAGTATTACCTTTTCCTTTAATGATAATAGCTATTAACAGGACTATTTATTTTACAGCTTGGAACGGCAGTTGGCTTTTTGCTACCACCTGTTTTAGTCCCCAACACACAGAATAACACAGATCTCCTGGCTCGTAATATCAGCACCATGTTTTATGGGACATCGGGTGTCTCCACACTTTTATTTATTTTAACAGCAATTGGTAAGTGAATTATTTTTCCTAAAGCTTGGATAAATGCATGGCAAACAGATAAGAATAACTCATCCTGGAATTTTTTACTGATAGCATGTCAAATACCATTTGCTTGTTTCATTCTTGCTGGGCACTGTTGCTCAGGAAGTGAATGGTACAGCCCTTAGGGTATGTTCTGGCCCACAGTGTGATCTTAATATCGTAACGAGTTTTAAGACTAATCCATTTCATTTATCTCCCCACTAACTTTTCCTCCTGGTAAGTGTTGGCTTCAGTCCTGCTTCCTGCCTCCTCTCCGGTGTTCCTCTACATGGGCATCTTACACCTGCCTGGCAGGAATAAGTTCTTGTCATGCTGTGAATTGATACAGTTAGGTGCCCATCTTCCTTTAGTAATAAATCCTCCCCAGAGTCCCCAATTTAAAATTAACTGGTCTGAAAATGTTGACCATCAATGATCCTAGACAGCAGCAAGCTGTCCAGCAGAATTCAAACTGTGGCAACTGTCTGCTTGTTAGGCCACTCCAGCAAGGCTCGGCTGCTGCTGCCTGTCCCCGAGTCCTCTCGCCTGGGCCTGTCTCTTGAAGCAGTCAGTCAGAATCAGCTGCAAACAGCCATCAACAGTTTGGAAGAAGCTTTGGGAAGGTCTGCTTTTTAAAGTTTTATTTTTAATGGGAAGCAGTTTTGATTTCAGGGGAAAATAATAGGTAAGGTGGATTTAAGTTATTGAGCTGCTAATGTAACTGTAATAATGTCCGTTAGGCACTTAGTATCTTAATGGATTTGAAGAGGAAAGAAAGTATAAAATTGAAAAGCCATCTTCTAGCCATTAAAATTTATAATTAAACTGCATTAGTTGCATTACATTTTAGGTTTATACATTAACTTTTACCATGGCTAGCATAGTAATGAAACACATTTATTTTATGGTACTCAGATTTGAACTCCTCAGTTTTTGAGAGAATTGTGTGCTAAACGCTCTAAAGCTGTAGCGAACCTATAGCACGAGTGCCGCAGTGGACTCTGTGTAGCATTGACAAGTTCGCCATCCGTGCTCTAGAGTGTTTCCATAGAATGCATTGGTAGGTGAACTACAGGATCCAGGTATAGGAAGCTCAGCTCACATACTTAATTTCCTTTAAGGTAATGAACAGAGTGTTTTCATGGTAGCGAGTACTCTGATGTGGCCAGTCTGCTTGTGGTTGGTATTTGTACTTCAGTCAGTCAGGGAGTGGCATTGAAAAGGGACTGAAAGAAGTAATCATCCCTGTACCATTTTAGCAGTTTAATAGTTTTAAAAGAAATCTATATGATGGGCTGGGGATTTAGCGCAGTGGTTCCGCCGCCTGCCTTGCGAGCGCAAGGACCCGCGTTCAATTCCCAGGTACCAAAAAAAAAAGAAATCTATGAGCCAGGGATGTAGCTCAGTGACACCGCACCTGCCTGGCAAGTGCAAGGTTCTGAGTTTGATTCCCAGTACTGGAAGAAGAAAAAGAAACCTATATTGTATGTGTGGGAAACCCTCTTAAATCTGCTTTTCCAGTAGCGATTTATGACTTGTTACATGAAATAGGGATTATTGTTTATATACATTTGCATAAGTGGCCCTTCCATTAGGGATTTTTCATAGACGGGAGCTTGCTGTGTTGCCCAGGCTGGCTTCAGACTTGACATCTTTCTGCCTCCACTTCTTAGCAGCTGGAATTATAGGCGTGGGCCACTGTGCAGGACTGGCAAGAAGGATTTTTTTTTTAAGAAGGATTTTTAAAGCGTAAAATTCTCTTGCCTTTGCTTATATATTGTCCCATAAATTCCAATTTTTCTTTTTATATCTTCTTCAACTGGTTGTCTCTGAAAGAGGAAAGAATAATAAACTATATGTAAGTTATAAGTATGAAATTCAATGTATACTACATATTATATATATATGTAGTTGTATGTGTAAAGTGGTACAAATATAAGATACTTATTTGCTGAAAGAAGGGGCCAAAGAATAATAATAATGTGGTTGTATTTGTTATTGAGGAAAATCCGGATTTTTTTTTTCTTTTTATTGAGTTTATTGGTGCAATCTAGGTATACAATACAGTTACATTCGTTATTAGGATCCTGTACCTTTACATAATAGATCTTGATTCTCATTTTTTTAAGATCCTTACTTATTTAAATTTCCTTAATTACTAAGAGATGATCCTCTGCCCCTCTAAAATCAACCCATAATTATTTTGGAAAGCCAGCCAAATTCTTATAAAATAATTTAATTTAGCTGAAGTTTCAGCACTATGACATGCACTGAGTAGATATCTGGCGATCTCTGTAAAATACTGTCTTGAAGGTTCAGGCTGTGGGACTTTTTCCTGTCTCTTAGGGAATGTGTATGTAATCCATCTGGTGTTTCTGGGATTTAACACAGGCTTTCCACTGAATTCCCCATCCTTGTTGGGCGAACTCTGTTGTCCCTCTCGCATCTGGGTGGTTGATTGGTGCCAAACATGGGTAGAGGTGCAGGTGTGCTACACCTCAGTGAATCCTCAAAACCTTTGGAGGGATGTTCGGCTACTATCACTTCTGTTGTACACATGAGGGAACTGGGTCACAGGACTTAAATTTAATTTGCTCAAAATCACAGTTTTTAAACACTCAGGATCAGATTTATGTTTAGGCACTCTAACTCCATATATAAAATGTTTCCTAAAAAGTAGATCATTTTAATTTTTCCTTGGCCTTGGTTTTCTGTTCCAGTTCAGATTCTTCTTATATAAGTGGTTATGCTGTTGTATTTAAAACCTGCTCTTGTGCAGCAGAGCAGTAAGCTTATCATTTCACTCAAGTGTGTCAATTCAGTTGCTTTCCTGATTCAGTAAAGTGTGTGAATGACAGGAATCATGGGAATGCCACTAGAAATAGTTCATATTACGGTATTTAAGCCCAGGTATATATAACATATGCAGAATTTAAGTTTGAGTCTTCTATTCAAAATGACTGTATATGGGCTGTAAAGTTTTAACAAATATATTTGATTCACTCTATACAAATTTTAAGCTCCTAAGGTAAAGTGTCTAATTTTTAAAAATATTTCTCAAATAAAGTAATATATTTTATGTATCATTGTATAATTACAAAATTATTTTACATATTTCATGTCATATAATCCTTATAACAATGTGTTATTATTTCCATCCTGTAGATGAGAAAGCTAAAAGCCACGATACAGGAATTTACTTCCTCAAAATCATATAGTAAGATAGGGCAGAGCCAATGTTCAAACCTACATTTGGCCTCAAACAAGGGAGTATATATAAATGTTTGAACCACACAAGGATACAAAGTAAATCAAAAGGTACTGTTACAATATGATTTCAGAAAGTATGAGCAAGCGGAATGCTACATATTCATGCTAGGAGGAAAAGTTCAAATGCCGTGCCCAAGAATGACTTGGCTACTTTGTATGCCTAACACCAGGATGGAAAACGATGGCACAAGTATTTTAGAGAAGAACAGTGGAAGGCTGTCGTTTTTCAGTTTCAAAGGGAATGGAAAAACCATATTTATCATAGTAATTCACCATCAACAAGATCATAGATCAGTGGCTTTTTACTCATCTTTTTTGTAATGCAGATTTAAATGTGACTTTACTAAGTGTGTAGCAGCTAGAGACTTGTTTTTGCCAAGAGAACATCAGAAACTAAAAGATAATACTTGTATTTAGACAGTAAGTCTTAAAAAAGGAAAATAAATAAGTGGAGTTGAAGAGTGGTAAGAATTATTTTTATTTTTCCATGAAATTTTGAGTTCAGATTTGGGCCTTTTTTAAACTGACTTTACCACAGTAAATAAAAACCCCGAAGAAGGGGACTTATACCCAGGAGTGTCTTGTTAGCAGTTTTCAGTCTGACACTTTGTTTACAGCTGTGAGTTCTGTGTTAGCAGTGTTAATAAAAGAGATGTCTCCTATCTAAGTGTAGGGTACAGAGGGACTTAGGAAAAGGCGCCAGACATTCTGGCCATGCGAGGATCAGATAGGGTGAGAGGAAGAGGAAGAATTGGAACAGCTTAAAGGTTTCACAGCTACCAGTGCTGCAGTGTAAGGATGTTAAGTAGTCTGTATTTGTGAGTCATAGCTTTCTCTTGAACCAGTTGCGAGATGTATAAGAATGTAAAAATAGAAATGTTTTAGTTTGATAGGTTTAAGTTATATCATAAATAATGTTTGGGTCAGCAAATAATTTTCTTTTTTAGTACCAAATAGAATGAGAGAGTCACATTATTTTGTGGCAGTAATAAGAGTTACTTTTATAAGCGTGGTTGGCTGTATTGATGTCATGTGGACAGTTTTGTGTGTGCCATACAAGGTGTGGTCAAAATGATGACCGAAGTTTGAAGATGATTATTAAAAGACACATTGACGTTAATCCTCCTCAGCATACTCCCCCTCACTTTGAACACATTTATTCCATCATTTTTGCCACTTTTTTTTTTTTTTTTTTTGGTACCTGGGATCAAACTCGAGACCTTGCACTTATGAGGCAGCAGTGGCACCACTGAGCTAAATCCCCAGCCCATTTTTGCCACTTTGTAAAGCAATTCTTGAAGTCCTCTTTCCTGAGTGTCTTTACAAAGTATGATAAAAAATATGGTGAATGTCGCTGCTGAGTGTCATTGAGGAGAAAGGCAGGCTCCTAAAGGCCTTAGTGTGTCCTCATCCGCCTTTCTGGCACCGAGTGACTCTTGGCTCTTTCTCAAATTCAAAATGACCATGGAAGGTAAACATTTTTAATAAGTTAGGTCATGGAGGCAACCAGGACAGCACCCCTAAGACATAACAGACTGTTCCAGTGTCGAGAATGATGAGATAAGTATGTTTGAAGCAAGGAAAAATATTTTTAGGGGGATTAATGGCAACATGTCTTTTACCATATAAATTAAGAACTTTCAGCATTCACTATAGTTTTTAATCACCCTTTATCAGTTTTCAAGTTACATTCTAGAGGTTTTGATTATCCAACCCTCCATACAGTCTCAGAATCTGATTTAAGCTTCCAAATGATTCCAGTTGATTCAGTTCATCAAGTCTATCCCACTTTCAGACAATAAGATGGGCCTCACTTGTTGCAAGAAAGAAATTGTCATGAACAAAAGGAGGAAGAAAGAGAAAGGCAGAAATGTGACAGAATGAAAAGCAGAGGTTACAAATCTTCCCAAGGAAGATTATTGTTTTCCTTGAATCTGTTTACCTTGCTTTTTCTTTTTAAATTTACTGTTTCATTAATTCTAAGGGATATGTTTTTTCATGAAGTCTTTGAAAACAAAACACTTTTAATAGTGACATCTAACATTTGTGGTAATGGAGACTTGGTTGTGTGGAAACCTGTTGGTACCTGGCAAGATCAGTGAGCACAGGCATCTCACACTCCATGGTGCAGTATCTTCCTCCCATTGTATATAAAAATTTGGAGTGAATAATTTAGAATTTTGGGTTATTACAAAGACAAGATTTTAATTCCTGAAGTACCTTCTATCAACTTTTCAGCTCTTCAACTTTTCTGTCCCTTATTCATGACTTCTGGTCAGCTATGTTAGTCAGCTTTCTGCTACTGTAAGAATATATCTGAGAGAATTAGCTTATGAAGAGAAAAGGTTTATTTTGACTCATAATTTTGGAGGTTCTAGTCCGTGGTTGGCGATAAAGAGGAAGGGGCTGGGGTCCTCTCCCTCCCTCCAAGGGCACACCCCATGACCTAAGATCCTGCTAGGTTCCACCTGGAAGCTTCCCACTCGGGAATCTTTTGCTTCTCTGGGACCAAGCTTTTAACACTTGGGCCTTTGGAGCACACTTTTCCACCCCATAGCACTAACCCGACTGAACTCTCCCCCTCACCTTGTGTTGGAGGCAGTTGCCAGACCCTTCTCAGCACACCTGAAGGGGTCTTCAGGGCCAGGGATGTGACTCAGTGATGGAACACCTGCCTCACATGGGCAAGGCCCTGGTTCACTCCCCAGCTTTCTAGCGTAAATTAATAAGTATGATTTTTTTTTTAAGTAGGGGAGGTTCTTGGTGTCTGGCTGAGAATGGTGCGAAATCTAACTAGAAACAGTGCTGAAGTTTACGGCATCAGACACCCACGCTCTCCTGTCTTAGCTTTACCCTTGCATTTTCCTGTGCATCTCCAGTGAGTCAGCAGGAAAGACCTAGTCCCATGCCCGGGAATCCACTGCACCCTTTCAGCATGAGGCATAATTGGGTTCGGTGATGAACTGTGTACAGATCTCAGGAGAGGACAGTCACCAATTCAAGATAGACCTCTAAAAGTTAAGTAGTACATTGGCTTACTCTAATGGCTACTTCTAATTATAAACTGAACTGAATTTAAAAATAGAATCTTGGATGTAGTAAAAATTAAATCTTGATTACCCAAAAGTGGAATAATCAGTGGTCAAGCTTGTGGCACTTCACTGATGGTTTTGCAGCTCAGCTTGGGAATTGGCCAAATCTCTTAAGTTTTAGATTGCTGAGATGATAATGCCAAACTAGTTTTCACTAAGAAATGAGTGAAAATGAGAAACCTCACCATGAAAGCCTTTTGTACCTCTTTAAACTTAAACTGAATTGTCTGTTCACTAAGAAAGATACATATAGTTATATATGTGGTAATATATTACCTATATGTTGACACATACTGTTCTTTTTATGTACATTCCCAGCATTCAGGGAAAAGCCTCCCTACCCACCGAGCCAGGCTCAAGCAGCTCTTCAAGACAGCCCCCCCGCAGAGTACTCCTATAAGAAATCAATAAGAAACCTGTTTAAAAACCTTCCCTTTGTTCTTCTGTTGATCTCTTATGGTAAGTGGTTTTCTTGCATTTTCTTTGAAGTCACTGTGAATGGTTTTCATTTAACACAGTGGTTTGAATCTTAAGGAGATTGGTTTGAGAACTCTACAGGGTGGTTATGAACTTAGATTTTGAACTAAAAGCAAAAATGCTAAGGTGGGTTTTTTTTACATGTTTAAAAATGAAAGGAAAAATAGATCTCAAAAGGAGAAACACTGTCTTTTTGCGTTCTCGAGGAGCACTTTGGCCCCTTTACGACCGGACGGATGGCTCTGTCAGGCTGGGAAAGTTCAGCAATTCCTTTCATCGGCCATGTGCAGCTGGCGTCTGTTTTGACTCCCACATGAAAACTAGACATGAAGGGAGTCACTGTAACCAGTCCTAATTTTAAAAACTTCTCATCTTTCTAGATCTCTTAGGGTAGCTGACAGGTATTTGTCCTCACCTCTCACTCTGTAGCCCTGACTACAGGTACGGACACGTTGGTTCTTTTCAGTTTCCGGACGTTTCGGGTTTCATCTCTTGCATTGACACTCTCCGTGTTGACCTCCAGGACCCCGTTTCCGTCCTGCTCCCCCTCACAAGTCACTTGTAGCTGCTGCGTTGTTTTCATGTGTTTGCAGGCCTGCATCCTAGTACATAACATTTTAGAATTGTGACATGTCCTACCTCGAACTCTTCATTCATTTCCCTGGATTAGTTCTTTTTTTTTTAGTTCCTCTTTTTTTAATGTTGTCAGCCACAAAAGTAGACCCTTTAATCTCTGCAGCTCCACTGGACCCATCAGGTGTGTCCCCAGCCACCCAGCTCCTCAGGTCTCCAGCTTTTTGTCACTCTTGCTTTGTCCACTTCCCTCATTTTCTTCCTGGAATATTTTAAAGCCCGTCTCACATGTTATATCATCTCACCCTTGAATGTTTTTCTGTGGCTGGTAATTTCCCTCTCTAGGTTAAACCTAAAATTCAAAACTAGGACGCAGAGAAACTGCCCTGGCTCACTACCTGTGACACTAAGTTGATTCCTTAAGGCTGTCCTTGAAGAAAACTTTTTTGTATCTCTCTTTTACCCCTCACTGTTCTCCAGCACGCAACTCTCCACCCGGCTTGGAAGCACTGGCTCACAGACACACACACACAGAGACACACACACACACAGACACACACAGACACACTCACACACAGACACACACAGAGATACGCCTCAACACGCACACACCTGCGTTTTGTTCTGCACTTCTGTGCCATTGTCTCTTTTGCCCTCTCTGCATGTTTACACAGGCAGAGAGTTCCACAGTGGCTCCCTTCCAGCTGGGTGGGAAATTTCTTGGCCTCTTATTTCTTCACCAGAGGGCACAGAGCTCGGAGCATAATGTCCCAGTGAAGGTAGCGCCACAGCTCTTGGGCAAGCACTTGTCCCCCGCTGTGCCTCGTGTTTGGTGTATAAGGTTGCAGCAGCCGTGCACATAGAGAAATCTGGATGGGGACTAGCACTCCTCAGACAGTTTTGCAGAAATGCACATAGTGTCCAGAACTCAGGAACCAGACACTGAGACAAGTTTGTTGAGGTCAGGCTGTGTACAGAAAAAAATGATCACTATCCCAGCTGTTTCCTTTTGCTATCTGAAATGCAGACAATACCATCCTCTAGATTTAGGCCACGAAGCCTGCCTTGCTACAAAAGGCCTTCCTCCAAACTCTTGCTGTCCTTCCTGGGTCTGAACCAGGTTCCAGGTACCTCAGGGTGTAGCGCAGCAGCGTGCACTCAGCCTGGGCCCAGCCTCGCTTGCACCCTCAGCCTTCCTTGTGAGCCCGTCTGTCCAGGTGCTTCCCCACACTCCATGGGAGCTGAGCAACTAGCAGAGGCCAGTGCCATTCAGACCAGCTGCAGAGCTTCTCCTGTAGTCTTGCTTAAGCAGGGATCGTAATAGAACCTGACCAATTCCAAAATTCCTTGAGAGAATAAGAGCCAAGAATAACAAAGAAAATTTTGATGAAAGCCAGGTGAGGGACTCCTTTTCAGCTATCAAGGTTTATAACGCTGGGGCTGGGCATTTGGTTCACTGGTTCTGCCGCCTGCCTTGCAAGCACAAGGTCCTGAGTTCGATCCCTGGTACCAAGGAAGAAAAAGAAAAAGATTTATTACGCTGGATGATTGAGATGCCAAAAGTAGCAAGGGGTAGGTGGTGGATCGCTGGGAAGGACAGAGCACGGGGACCACCTGTGCATCCATCACTTGTCACAGCCTAAGGTGGCTACAGCAGTGCGACCGCCAGAGAGATCCAGGGGAGTGGCCCAGCAGTGCCGGAGTATTTCTTGCCATGCATGTTGAGTATCAGTTGGTAGCACGGTCCTGCTGTGACTCTGGCATTTCTACCCCTTTCCACAGTTGATGAGGCGAAAAATAGAGAGTGTGACCTTGCTCACATTTAGTCACACAGCCATGCCTGGAAAAAGAAAAACTGGAATATTTACAAACTGATCCGGTGACTGACCTATTATAAACATATGAAAACTTGAGGTTTGGCAGAGGAGAACTTAATAAATTGTCTGGGGTAATTGACCATATGGGAAAGTCAGGTGGAATTAGAGGTTTCCGTATCATGTGTGAAAATGGATTGCAGGGGATTGGCAATCAAAGAGTAAAACTCAGAACAGTAAAGTTTTAGGAATGAATGCAGCAGACTGTAATATTCTTAAAGATTTTTTGTTTTGCTTTGTTTTTTGGTATTGGGGATTGACCTCGGATCCTTGCACGGCAGGTGGCGGCATCACTGAGCTAAATCCCCAGCCCTTCTTAAGGATTTCTTAATGCAATTAACATAAATCCTAAAGAAACATATTGATAAATATGATTACATCAAAATAATGGCCTTTTCTAAAAAGACACCATTAAAATGAAAAGACAAAATAGTAAGACAATGAGAAATTGTCCGCAGTGCATATAACCAACAAAGGATTAGTATCCATAAGAAAAATAACTTGCAGATCAATAAAAACACAGTTGGGAAAGCCAGGTGCTCCTGTGTATATGCATACATGATGCCAGACCATGCTAGTAATAAAGGACATACACATGGAAGACAGAGTGAGATAGGCTATTTTATGCACGTTCATATTGCCAGAAAACACACAAAAATCCTAAAAATGTCATGACAAATTTGGCTAAGATGTGAAGCTTTGGAAACTCTGCTACTAGTATAAGTGGGTACAGTCACCTTGAGAAGTGATTGGATCACATCATAAAGATTCTCCTAGATATATTCTTGGAGGAGCCCTTGTATGTAAGAACAAAAACGATATTCATTGCAGTTTTGTTTTATTTATTTTTTTAATTAATTTGTTTGTTTGTTTGTTTGTTTAGTGTTTTGAGGTAGGGTCTCACTATGTAGTTGAGAGTGACCTGGAACTCACTATGTAGCCCAGGCTGATCTCGAACTCACAGTGATCCTCCTGCCTCAGCCTCCTGAGTGCTGGGATTACAGGCAGGCACAGCCTGGAAACTGGGGAAAAGCACGTAGCTATCTGTTGATAAGACTATAGATGACTAAATCTAAATACATTCCCACAGTGGAATGAACAGAGAGAACTCATAAACTAGAATGGAAAGTGTCAACGCGGGTAGAGCTCAAAGCCGTCATAGTGAGTCACACCATAAGAGCATGTTCCAAATGTGTTTCAGTCATACCCTGTTTATATAAAGTGGGCAATTGTTTTAAATATGCATGCGTAGGAATATATAAAATTCTACACATCAAGATCAAGCTGGAGGTTACCCTTGGGAAAGAAGAGGAGACTAGGTTTGGGAGAGGTCTGCAAAGCCAGTCTGGAGCAAGCTCACTGAGCACTAATGTGTGACCTGGCTGGGCAGTGAGCGAGCTCACTGCAGTGTTCTCCGTAGCGTTTGTGTGGCTGGAACCTGAGAGTGAGTGACCGAGACCGAGACTGGGTTTAAAGCTCAGCCAGGTCAGGAAGCTCACTGGAATCCACTCAGTACACGCGAGGACGCATTGGGGTTTAAACCCGTGCAGGTGAGTCCTGGTGACTGTTTGTGTTTCTCCTTTTAAGTAGTCTTCAATTAATATTGTCACGTATAACAAATTACCCTGTAAATCTGATCCGAGGTCATCTCTCTGGAACGGGGGTCCTGGCACACATTTCACAGCGTTGGCTCCACTTACTGTGGTTGCTCAGTAAATAACCCATGGCTGGAGGACTCACTGAATACAGTGGTGTATGTTGGGGGATGATTTATGGTCAGTATATCTGAATCTAAACAACAGTAGTCTTAGGACAGAACTCTATTACAGCATATTAATCCATTTTCTGTTGCTATCACAAAACATCTGAGGTTGGGAAGCTCATAAAGAAAAGCGGAGCATTTAACCTCTTCAGCTCCGGAGTCTGAAGGGCCAAGATCAGGTGGCCCCGTGTGCTCAGTGGGTGCTGAGGTCCTGGCTGCACCACAGCGTGGGAGAGGAGCGAGTGGGCAGTGGCCACGTGCTAAGGGGCCCACAGAGAAGAGCGCCTGCTCTGCAACACATCCGCAAGCCGTGTTACCCCTCCTGGGGATGGAGCCCCATGCCCTAAGGACCTTGCTCTAAGCCCCGCCTCCAGGGCCCTCAACCCCACCATACTGGGGACAAGCGGGCACATGATTGTTGGGGGGACACAGCCAAACCGAGATCCTGATCTCTCATCACTTTAGTGTTAAATTGCCCGGTACACATCTCCGAAGGGAATGGCAGTCGTCACTAACTTTGTCGGTTGCCTAAAAAGTACATTGTAGAATCCGTAAAACAGATTCAAACAGATATCCAGGACATTAAAAACTCTATTGAAAGTGTACGCAACAGAATAAAAGATTGCGAAGATAGAATTTCAGATATAGAAGATAGGATCGCAGTCAGTGACCGTGAAAAAAGAGTTCTCTTAAAAACAGTAAGGAATCATGAGAAATCAATCCAACAACTCCTAGGCGATACAAAGAAAAATAACATAAGACTGATAGGAATTCATGAAAAAACAGAAGAAAATGCAAATGACATAAAAAAGCTCTTCACAGAATTAATGACACAAAACTTCCCAAACAGATGGGAAGAATTAGACATACAGATAAGTGAGGCATATAGAACTCCAATTAGCCACGATCAAAAAAAATCTACACCTAGACATATAATAATCAAGATTCCAGAAATCCAACAGAAAAACAAAATACTACAAGCAGTAAGAGAAAAAAAACAAATCACATGCAAAGGAAAGCCCATTAGAATCACAGCAGACTTTTCAACACAAACCCTTAGGTCAAGGAGAGCCTGGAGTGAGGTATTCCAAGTCCTAAAAGAAAAGAACCTCCAACCTAGACTGATGTATCCTGCAAAACTCTCTTTCAAAATAGATGGGGAAATAAGATACTTCCACGACAAAGAGCACCTGAGAAATTTCATGAACACCAAACCAGCACTGCAAGGAATTCTAAACAATATCCTAGAAAAGGACAACGAAGTTCACAATAACATGAGGCCCAACAGACCAAATCAAATAGGCAAGGCAAGAAACTAAAAGGAGATGGGAGAAAAAGTAAAAAGAGTCAACAAAAGGACAATAACATGACAAGAATAAGTCAAAATATATCAGTTATAACCATCAATGTTAATGGCCTCAATTCACCAATCAAGAGAAACAGATTGGCAGAATGGATTAAGAAGCAAAATCCAACAATATGTTGTATACAAGAAACACACCTAGTGCAAAAGGAAGCCCATAGACTGAAAGTGAAAGGATGGAAAACAATTCTCCATGCGTCAGGAGTCCAGAAAAAAGCAGGGGTAGCAATCTTATTCTCAGATAAAGTAAATTTCAAACCAAAACTCATTAAGAGAGACAAAGAAGGACACTACATCCTTGTAAAGGGAACAATTCAAGAGGAAGAGCTGACAATCATAAACATATATGCACCAAATATAAATGCCCCCAACTATATAAAACAAATATTAAGTAACATGAAAAACCAAATAAGCACTAATACAATTGTAGTGGGGGATTTAAATACCCCACTATCACAAATTGACAGATCTACTAGGCAGAAAATCAACAATGAAATAATAGAACTGAACCAAGCTTTGGAACACATGGACTTAATAGATGTTTATAGAGTATTCCACCCCCAAAAACCAGAATATACATTCTTTTCGGCTGCACATGGATCATTCTCCAAAATAGACCACATACTGGCTCACAAAACAGGTCTAAATAAATGCAAAAAAATTGAAGTCATCCCCTGTTTATTATCAGATCATAGTGCAATCAAACTAGACATCAATAGCACAAGAAACTATAGAAACTTCACAAGCACATGGAAACTGAACAACACTCTCCTAAACAATCAATGGATTACAGAGGAAATTAAAGAAGAAATTAGACAGTTTTTACAAATAAATGAGAATGCCAATACAACATACAGGAATCTTTGGGACACAATGAAAGCAGTTCTACGTGGAAAATTCATAACATTGAATGCCCACACTAGGAAAACAGAGCGGGCTCAAATAAACAACTTAACGATGAAACTTAGACTCCTAGAAAAACAAGAGCAAGAAAAACCCAAAGCTCGAACAAGAGAGGAAATTATAAAGATCCGAGCAGAAATCAATGCAATTGAAATTAAGAAAACGATACAAAAAATAAATGAAACAAAGAGCTGGTTTTTTGAAAGAATAAATAAAATTGACAAACCCTTAGCTAATCTTATCAAAAAAAGGAAAGAAAAGGCTCAGATCCATGCAATTAGGAATGAAAAAGGCGAAGTCACAACAGATCCGAAAGAAATCCAGAGGATCATGAACACCTACTTTGAGAACCTGTACTCTAATAAAATGGAAAACACAGAAGAAATGGACAGATTTCTAGATACTTATGAATTACCAAAGTTGAACGAAGAAGATAAAAACATTTTAAACACCCCAATCACAATCAGTGAAATTGAAAATGTAATTAAAAACTTACCAACAAAGAAAAGCCCAGGCCCTGATGGATTCACTGCTGAATTTTACAAGACATTTAGAGAAGAACTACTACCATTACTCTTCAAACTTTTCAATGAAATTGAAAGAGAAGCTATACTTCCAAATTCATTCCTGGAAGCAAGTATCACTCTGATTCCCAAACCAGAGAAAGATACAACCAAAAAGGAGAACTACAGACCAATCTCCTTAATGAATATAGATGCAAAAATCCTTAATAAGATACTAGCAAACAGAATACAGAGGATTATTAAGAAGATCATCCATCATGACCAAGTCGGATTTATTCCAGAGATGCAAGGGTGGTTCAACATACGAAAGTCAGTGAATGTAATACATTATATTAACAAAGTCAAGGACAAAAACCATATGATCCTCTCAATAGATGCAGAAAAAGCATTTGATAAAATTCAACACCCATTCATGATAAAAACCCTGCAAAAAATTGGAATAGATGGTCTATACCTCAATTTAATAAAGGCTATTTATGAAAAACCATCAGCCAACATCATATTGAATGGCCAAAAACTGAAAACCTTCATGTTAAAATCAGGAACAAGACAAGGATGCCCACTATCGCCACTTCTCTTCAATATAGTTCTGGAAACATTAGCCACAGCAATTAGACAAGAGAAAGAAATTAAAGCAATAAAGATAGGAAAGGAAGAAGTTAAACTATCATTATTTGCTGATGATATGATACTCTACATTGAAGATCCAAAAAACTCCACCAAAAAACTTCTAGACTTAATTGACAGATTCAGTAAAGTATCTGGATACAAGGTGAATACCCAAAAATCAATAGCCTTTCTATACACAAATAACAGACAGACAGAAAGAGAAATAAGGGAAAAAATTCCTTTTACAATAGCATCCAAAAAAATGAAGTATCTAGGAATCAATCTAACAAAAGAAACAAAAGATCTCTACACTGAAAACTACAGCACTCTGAAAAAAGAAATCGAAGAGGATATAAAAAAATGGAAAGATATCCCCTGCTCCTGGGTAGGAAGAATCAACATAGTGAAAATGGCCATACTACCGAAACTGCTATATACATTCAATGCAATGCCAATTGAAATTCCAACACTATATTTCACAGAACTAGAAAAAAGAATCCAAAAATTCATTTGGAACCACAAGAGACCTAGAATAGCAAAAGCCATTATAGGCAACAGTCACATGGCACCAGGTGTAACAATTCCCAATTTGAAACTATACTACAAAGCCACTGTGATAAAATCAGCATGGTACTGGCAAAGAAATAGGCCTGAGGATCAATGGAACAGACTGGAAGACACAAAAACAAATGCAGATGTACTCAGCTACCTCATCTTCGACAAAGGAGCTCACCATCCTCAGTGGAGGAAAGATAGCCTCTTTAATAAATGGTGTTGGAAAAACTGGATATCAACCTGTCACAGATTAAAATTAGACCCTTATCTTTCGCCATGCACTAAATTAAAATCCAAATGGATTAAAGATCTAAATATTAAAACAGAAACATTAAACTTGCTGGAAAGTAAGTTAGGCAGAACTCTGGAAGACATTGGTATAGGAAAAGACTTTATGAACAAATCCTCAGTAGCACGGGAACTAGCAGAAAGAATCAACAACTGGGATCTCATCTTACTAAAAAGCTTCTGTACTTCAAAAGAAACCATTAGCAGAACTAAGAGACAATCTACAATGTGGGAAAAAATTTTTACCAGCTGTACCTCAGACAAAGGACTATTATCAAGGATATATAAAGAACTCAAAACAATCAGTCCCCCCAAATATAAAGACCCGATCCAAAAATGGGCATCCGAAATGAACAGACATTTCTCATACAAAGAAGTGAAAGCAGCAAGAAAATATATGAAAAAATGTTCCACATCACTGGTCATTCGAGAGATGCAGATGAAAACAACACTGAGATTCCACCTCACCCCACAAAGAATGGCTGCTATCAAGAAATCACACAATAACAAATGTTGGCGGGGTTGTGGGGAGAAAGGAACCCTCCTCCATTGTTGGTGGGAGTGCAGACTAGTGCAACCACTATGGAAATCAATATGGAGATACCTCAAAGAGCTTGGACTGGAGGTTCCATTTGACCCAGCCATCCCTCTGTTGGGTATCTTTCCAAGAGAACTAAAAGAATCATATCACAGAGAAGTATGTGCACCCATGTTTATAGCGGCACAGTTTGTAATAGCTAAATCTTGGAAACAACCTATTTGCCCATCCGTTGGAAACTGGATAAAGAAGATGTGGTTTTTCTATAAAATGGAATATTACTCAGCCATAAAGAGCGAGAGAATAGATTCATTCATAGGAAAATGGATACATATTGAAGATATACTCCTAAGTGAAATAAATAAGTCCCACATGTGTAAATACCAAATAGTTTCCCTGGTGTGAATATTCTGCAACAATGCATAAGATTCTAATAAGATTACTGACATTTAGAAATGGGAGGAAAGGAGCTAAAGGTGTAGGGAAGGTGTGATACGTAGGGGAAGAACAAAAAGGGAAAAGAAAAAAATGTGAGAGAATGAAAAGATGAAAATAAAGTGTTTGTAGATGGGGAGGGGAGGAGGGGGTGAAGGGAGGGCAGAGGTAAGGGGAAAAAATGAGAATCAAGACCTGTCATGTAGAGGTACAAGATCCCAACAATGAATGTAACTGTACTGTATCCCTAAAATGTACCAATAAACTCAATTAAAGCTGAAAAAAAAAAAGCAAACACTGTATTTTCACAGCTGTGACACGGAGCTCCAGGTCACTTCTGAACTGATACATGCGTCATTACTTCTGTATTATTTCAGGTATCATGACTGGGGCATTTTATTCGGTCTCAACATTGCTGAACCAAATGATACTGACATATTACGAGGTGAGCTTCTCTTTCATCACACTGCATTCCTTGCTTCGGGTGTTTCTTTACTCCGTGTAATTCCTGTTCGTGTAATCATAAGATTTAGGGTTGTAATCTTGTCGGTGTAAAAGATTTACTTTTGTTGGTAATGAGAACACATTTGTGAAGCAAAATTTCACCAACTGGAAAGAGCTCGTGGACTGCGCAGCGTCCCTCCTGCGGGGAGAGGTCTCAGGGAGCGGAGCAGAGGACAGGCTTTGTAGGTGGAGAAGGGTGGAGGAGCAGGACCCGGAACGCATCGGTCATCACACTGCGGCTACCTCACCAGGCCGAGCGGAGGGCTGGGCTCCCTCTCCCGGGCCATTTTCACGTTCACGGTGACCTGTGTGTGGCCTTTCTGCTCCTAAAAGAAGGGACCTGTGCTGTGCAAACCCTTTTCAGACATTACTTAAGCGGCCTCACAGAAATTGTACTTTTAATCATGGAGGACCAAAGAAATTTTTCCTTTTTCACTTCTCCCATTATTTTATTTTATTTTTTCTGGTTGGTTTTCTACCTGCTGCTGCTCACCAACTCTAAGCCAAGTACCGAGTCTTCCCAACGAGTGCCTCGGTGTATCTGATCGTTCCCCGTGACTGCGGACAGGGTGAGTGTGCAGAGTCTGTGTCTGATCGGCTTCTCGTGCACGTGGTTTTCAGGGTCAGGAGGTGAATGCGGGAAGGATCGGGCTCACTCTGGTGGTGGCCGGAATGCTGGGCTCCATCCTGTGCGGCCTGTGGCTGGACTACACCAAAACGTACAAGTGAGTGAAGGGCATGTGGCGGGTGGGGTTGTAGAGCTTCCCCTTTTTATTTTAAGAGATTTAAAGTGTTACCAAACACTTCCTTCCATTTTGTAACTGTTTCAGCAATCTACATGTTGTTTCACTTGATTGGTCATACTTACTTCAACCTCGAGAACTTGGATACCTATGAACCTTCTGCTCTAACCAAGCCCGTGCATGCTTCTTTAGAAGGCAGCTTGTCTACATTTTTAAAAGAAAAGCTCTTTCTAAGGAACCTTTGACTTTTGACAAACTTCATCTTTCTTTTTCTGTGGGCTTAAAATACAAAATATTGTTCTTATCAAAAAAATATTGTTGAGCATAAGACTTCTGTTTTTTGAAAAAAAAAAATTTTTCACCAAAATGTCCCTAAACCACAGTACCATTTAACTGTAACACAATGCATGGTATGAAAATGCTATTTTAATTGTGCCTATATATGGAGACAGTGTTTTTTTAACATAAAAGAAAGAGGGAGTGATACTGACTGGGAAACCAGAGCAGGGTTTCAGTGGCAGCGTTCTTCTACTTTGACCCTAAAAGAAGGGCCAGTTTCTTTTTCATCATATGTTTTGTGGTGATGGGATCCAACACAGGACCTTGCAAGTGTTAGACGAATGGTTTCCCACCCAACCACAGCCCCAGCCCCAGGCCACACCTGCTAGAGGGGTTAGGGCTTCTCCCGTCTGCTTGGGAAAATTAAGGAATGGAACTGTTCGTGAATATATACGGAACTCTGTCAAGTACACTTTTCAAGGTCTGGCTACATTTAACTGCTGTATTATTCTAAACCCTTCCGGAAGTATCTCTGACCTTGAAATTCTTCAGGATAATTCTCCCATAATTTAAGACAATACTGTGGTTTTATTATGAAATAGCTCAGAAGGGGATCTGCTCAATTTGTAGGTGAAAGGAACATGTGCACAGGGTTAAATTCCTTAGTAGTCTTGGTCCATGATACACTAGGAGACTTGGCGGGTACAGCAGTGCATTCTTGGGGTGGCTTTGGGTTCCCAGGGTAGCTGCCTGGTACTCCTCCGTTCCCTGCTGTGCACATCTCGCCTGGCAGGGACTATGGCCAGTGGTAGGCGAGTTCTGTCCTTAAGGGACTTGTGCTGTAAATGGGGCTACTAAGGCGCTCACGTAGGCACAGTAAAATTGAATCGTACATGCCAGGTGTGTAGGTGTAAGGGATAAGGGAGATGGGAAGAGAATCTTGTACGCTGTAGGGGTTAGGGAAGGCATGTGGAAGAGGGGAAATTTTATTTGAATCTTGAAATATGATTCACGTGGAACAGGATCCTCAAATACTCATGAGTAGCCTTTTTGGTCTTTTGAAACAGGGTCTCACTAAGTTGAGACTGACCTGGAACTCACTATGTAGCCCAGGCTGGTCTCGGACTCACGGCGATCTTCCTGCCTCAGCCTCCCAAGTGCTGGGATTACAGGCGTGCGCCAACATGCCCGTCTTAGCCTTTTCTGATTGAGCTAATAGATTTATTGCTGTATGGATAGAGTAGTGGCCAGCCACGTAATTTTTATATGCCTAGGAAAATTCCTAACAACTTTGTTGTTTTGTTTTAGACAGACTACTCTGATAGTTTACATTTTGTCTTTTATTGGAATGATTATATTTACTTTCACGTTGGACCTGGGCTACATTATCATCGTGTTTGTCACTGGAGGGATCCTTGGGTAAGTATCAGGTGTGTTTAGGAGAAAAGTTAACATGCTCTTGTAATTCTGAAGTATTATTACTTTAGTTTACTGATTTTTTTAAGCTCACCCAAAGGTCCTTTAATATTTTAACCCTATTAGATCCTTGTGTGTCCATAAGGGTATAATTCTTCAAAACTGTAAAAAATAGTTTAGCCTAGTATGCTTGTGCACACCTATAACCCTAGCCTTCTGGGAGGCTGAGGTAGGATGATCACAAATTCAAGCTCTGCCTGGAGAGCAGTGATTTATCAAGACTGTCTCAAAAATTTAAAAAAATTTTTTTTTAAGGGGAGCTGGGGATATAGCTCAGAACAGAGGCACTGGGTAAAATCCCTAGTAAGAAAGAAAAGCAGAAGTGAGGAAGGAGGAAAAAAGAAAAGGAAAGTCTGCTGATAAAAATGTATAAGCCTTGAGCCAGGCATGGTGGCGCACGCCTGTAATCCCAGCACTCAGGAGGCTGAGGCAGAAGGATCGCTGTGAGTTCGAGACCAGCCTGGACTACATAGTGAGTTCCAGGTCAGTCTCAACTACATAGTGAGACTCTGACTCAAAAACACAAAAACAAAAATGTGTAAGCCTTACTGAGTCCAAGTAACTTTATTGGTGATAAAGATAGCTGACTTAGAAAAGTAGAGGTGATTTTTTTTCTCTGGTTTTGGGGGAGCTTCTCAGTTCTTGTGACTTTGGTCACTTGGTTAACAGTAATAGTTCCTCGCTTTCACATAACAACCTCACAGTACTCCCTGCGTGAACCACTGGAGTAGGCCTGAGATATGGTGTGTGCTGTTGTCCCGATAGTTCTTTCTATAATGGCGGCTTGGTTTTCCTAGCTTCTTCATGACTGGTTACCTCCCCCTGGGGTTTGAATTTGCTGTTGAAATCACGTACCCTGAGTCTGAGGGCACTTCGTCTGGTCTTCTTAATGCTGCCGCCCAGGTAAACCTTCAGTTCCTCTTAAGTCTTGTTGGCTGTTTTACCACACAGTCTAGTGAATAATGGGTTTGACCATAGCTTTTGTTTTAACAATTTCACTTTTCAATAAATGTTTCTAGATGCCAAATTATGTGAAGAATATTAGTTTTAAAAGGTACTGGGGAAAAAAATGTAATGTTTTAAAGAAGCAATTTTTTTTTTTTTTTTTTTTTTTTTTTTTTTTGGTGGTACTGGGGATCAAACTCTGGTCCTTGTGCTTGCGAGGCAGGTGGTGGAACCATTGAGCTAAATCCCCGGCCCTAAAGAAGCAAAATTAATATAAATTGTTTCTCTTATTTCAGATTTTTGGAATTTTGTTCACATTGGCTCAAGGAAAGCTCATAACAGATCACTGTCCCAGGGCAGGGAACATTTTCCTCTGCTTCTGGATGTTTTTGGGCATCATTCTAACAGGTGAGTGGGGGATTTGCCGGGAGAAGGATGTGCACCGCATTTTCTTCTGTGTTCACATGCACTTCTCGTGTGTATGGTTCCCTGATGGCTTCGCAGAACTTACAAGTTAAAAATGAGGCAAAAAGCAGGATATTGTTTCTTTTCTTCTAAGGATATGAATCTGTTCATTCATTTGGAGGTTTCATGCAAAACAGTGACTGTCTAGGAAACAAAACTTTGTAACAGAGTAATAAAGACCTGAAGTTGGGCAGATCCTGCCGCAAACTAATTCCGTTTCTCGCTAGCTGTGTGACTTAGATGAGTTACTTAACTTCTCTGAGCTCTAGAAGGAAATTTCAACTCGCTCTGGCTTTTCTACTGTACACTCACAGTACAGATCACTGTTGTGACCCCCAAAAGAATGCGGGTTTCTCCCCTGAGTGAGCAACAGCTCCATAGTAGACCCCTGCTGGGCACCCTTCAGCACGAGTTGGGCAGACAGTGCTGGTAGTGTCTCCCAGCCCAGCTGCCCTCTGCTGTTAATCTGCTGGTGGATCTCTCTGCATCCCTTTACTAGCACGGGAGATGGAACCCATGGATAGTCAAAGAGGAGTTCTGACAGATCTGGTAATAACTTAATCTGAGGACAGAATCCATAAGAAGGGTGTGAACGAAAACTTTGTTTTACGTTTGATTACCTGGTCACTCTTTGTGCAGCTGCAGTGTGAAATCTTCCTGTGATATGCATTTATTTGGATACACATGGCCACCCAAGGTTACTGTTCATTCATCATATGCACACAAAGTCAATGTATCCTGTTCCCAAAGAGAAATGTCCTGTCACAAGGAAATTTAAACAAAACACGTAACACTGTGAAATATGTAATACTGTCTGATATATTGTAAAGATTTGTTGGTACTATTGTTGCACTAAAAGTAAAGAGAACAGTTTCCTACTTCCTTTCCAGATTGGGGGTAAGGTACATTACCCAGGGCCTTCATACTGAGCTGCACCCCAGATCTTTTAACTTAACTATTGTTACTAGTATTTTGAGACAAGATCTTGCTAAGTTGGTAAGTTTGTAAAGCTGAGCTTAAATTTGCAATCCTCCTGCCTCCCAGAATGCTGTGATCATGGGGTGTTTCCACCGTGCCTGGCTCGAGATTTTATATAAAATTCATGAACATCAATTCAAACAAATCAAATCTGCAGAATTAATTTTAAAAGTGAAAAAAGTATTTAACACTAGTTTTACATCGATGCCTTTGCCATCTAAAAATGCTAATTAATCTATCAGATTAGCTGAGTATTTTGTTGGAGCGAGATTGAGGGTTTTTCTAAAATACTGATACCAGTCATGGAGCAGAATTATGAGGGGCAGTGTGGATTTCAAAGAAAACACTGGGCCTCCGGTGCCTAAATAAGAAGCTTGAAAACTGCCGCTGTACACTAACAGTAAGTTGAAAGCCGAACAAACTGAAAAATCAACAACTCTTCTTAGATCCAAAAGACTGAGTTCATAGTGCAGAGCGTGGCATCCAAAACTGGAGAGGACGACAGACAAGTACAGAAAATCAGCGGAAACCCGTGGGAAGGAGCGCAGCTGCTGCAGGAAACCAGGACGGACTGAAGCGTTGCGGGAGGCTCTGTGTGGGGAGACCCTGAGAAACACTCCAGAGGGAGCCCACGCGGGACGCTCGCACTTCCGGGAACTTTACCTCCTATTTCCAGGGCAAAGCAACCTTTCTGGGACAGGCCAGAGCAGTCTGTTCTTAGCAGATGTGCCCCAGGGAGACTATTTAGCAGAATCTCACCTACCAAGATTTATCCGAGTCTTGCTGTCCTGGGGAAGAGGAAAGGCCCAAGTCCAGTGTACTCCAGACTTTGATGTGGGAGAAGGAAAATGTGCCCCGTCCAGGCCCCTCTAGCCATCCTGTCCCACCGGGCCAGGGGTGCTGCGTGCGAATCTCATGTGAGGCTCGCAGTTCAGAGGCACAAACTCAATCCTGTTAGAGGACGATAGACGGCTTCCACTCCCCTTTACTTCACCACCGCATTGCCTGAGGCCTTTTTATAGCCGTCTTTTCTACCCCAGTGTATCATGTCTGACTATGAAAAAAAATAAAAGACATACGACAAGGCGAAAGCACAATTAAAAAAAAGAGCAAGTAGCATAACCATATTCAGCTATGGTATAGTTGCTGGAATTACCAGATTAGGAATTTAAAACAGCTATGATCACTGTGCTTGGTGCTGTAATGAATAAAATAAGCATGCAAGAAAAACTGGCTAGTATAGAAAGATGGAAAGTCTAAGAAACCAAAAACTGCTGGCAGTGAAAAGCCTGGAAACAGAAATGAAGAATGCTTTTGAAGGCTTTATTAGTAGACTGGAATGGTTGGAGAAAGAATCTTTGGGCTTGAGGATATATCCACAGAAACCTCCAAAACTAGACAGATATGGTGGTCCACCGCTAATGCCATCACTGGGAAGAAGGCTGAGGCAGGAGGATCGCAAGTTCAAGTACCTCCTGAGCATCTTAGCAAGACCCTGTCTCAAAAAGGGCTGGAGATTGTAGCTCAGTGGTAGATTGAACACCTGGGTTAAATCCCTAGTATTTCAGAACAAACAAACAGGAAACCTCTAAAACTGAAAAGCAAAGAGGAAGAGGACCAAAAGGGAATAGTCTAGTGTTGCGCATCAGCAAGATGGCTGAGTACAATGGTCTGTTGCTCATCCTTGTCACAGAAAGGACCACAAACAAACTACAACTAGCGGCACACCAGAGTGGCAAGGTCCTTAAGGAGTTTGATGAAAGGAGGGCAGCAAGGTGCCCTGCCATTCCACACACTCCTCTGCCCAGATTGGCTTGGATCCAAGAGGGACCTGTGCTTATGGGGAACAGGTAAGGTAGAGACCCCCAAGATCCCCTCTAGCACTGCAGATGGCTGCACTGGAGCCTTCCGACGTCACAGACCCTGAGTAGAGTTTAGAGAGCTGTTACAGTGCGTGGGCTGTATCGCTACTGATACTAGACTAGACACCACTGTTGTACACTCTTGAGGCTCATGACCTAAGCTGCCAGTCCTGGCACCATCTTGAAGCCGGACCCACTGCAAGAGTGTGGTCCCTTCCAGTGGCTGGTAGTCACAGTTTATCCCCGTTCCTGAGTCGCCACCATCGTTCCACCATCCTCGTGGGTGGCTGCAGTAACACAAGCCCAGCTGCTCAGAGCCCGAGCCCAGACAAAGGCTGAGATGGGACATTCAGACCCGTGAGGTGCCCCATTCCCTAAGGAATAGGCAGATGAGCACAGGAGAAGCCAGCACAAAGCCTATCATCGCTCATGCCCACATGCACCTGTGCTTGGCCCAGCAGCCAGCCAGATGGCAGCTCCCACCAGTGGAGAGCCCCGTGGCCACCAGCCTGGCAGCCATCCAGGCAGCAACCCCAGCCTCAGCAGAACTATGCCACATCCCCGTAGTCACAAGCACTTACAGCCTAGGCCACCAGCGCAACCACAGACATGGCTGACAAGGATCACAGCTGAGGGCATGCGCAGAGCCCACACTACAGAATCCTCCCAGAATCAGAGCTAACATAATCACACCCTGCTGGCAGCCTAGCACCCTCACAGGAAATAGCCTCTCCTTAAAAAGTCTCAAAATCTCATAAAGTTGGAAAAGATGCCTATTGTATAAGGTGTGCACGTATAATGCAAAGACCCAAGAAATCAGAGAAAGGAAGGAGATGTGAAACCCTCAAGAGTATGCAGTAATTCTCTGTTAGGAAATTTATAAAATTTCTGAAAAGTTGATGCGAGGGAAGTTCAGTAAGACGCAAGAAAATACAATTCATAGTATGAAAGAAATTCATCGCAAAAACTACCACTAAAAATCCCAGAGATCTTTTCAGTTATGGTGGAGCACACCTGTAATCCCAGCACTCTGGGAGGCTAAGCATATTTAACAAAATAATAGTTAAAAACTTGCCAAGTCTTGGGAGAAGTGTGGATGTAGAGATCCATGAAACTCAATTCCAGTTAGGTTCAACCTGAAGAAGGCACATTATAATTAAGATAACAAAGACAAAGAATTTTGAACCCAGCAAGAGAGAAATGACAAATCACATATAAAGGAATCTCCTTTAGACTAATGGGAGATTTCTCAACAAAAAAATTGCAAGCTAGGAAAGAACAGGACACAACAAAACAAAACAAAAATACCAGCCAAGAATACTGTACCCAATAAAGCTGTCCTTCAAAAGTGAAGGGGAAATGTCTTTTCAGACACATGAAAACTGAAGGAACTCATTTCTAAGAAATGTAAGGAAGAAACAAAGGACATACAGTGGGAAAACAATTAACAAATGACAAGTGTAGCTTGTTACTATCCGTGGTGACTTTGTAAACAGATGAAAATCTCCAGTTAAAAGATTTAGATAAGCTGAATGGATTTAAAAGATCTCGTTTTTAATAGATCCAATCATATGTTGCCTACAATGAATTAATTTCACTAGCAGAAGATACACATACAGACAAAGTGAGAGACAGAATAAACAAATTTTAAGTGAACAAAAGTAGCTATGCTCACATCAGATGAACAGAAATTTATAGAAATTAATTTATAATAGCTACTAAAAGTGGGCCTGGGATATAGCTCAGTGGCACGGCACCTCCCTGGCAAGTGCAAGGACCTGAGTTTGAGCCCTGGTACCAAAAAAACAAAACCTACAAAAAAGTAAAATAATTAGAGATGAAAGAACCCTACAGTGAAAATTACAAGATGGGTGGCCTCACAATCCCTGACTTCAGCGCGTTCTGCACAGCATTGGGAACCAGCCTGGTGATGGGATGGAGCAGAGAGCACAGCAGAAAACCCACATCTCTACCAGACATGCAGTGGAGAAGAGAGCGTCTTAGCAAATGACTCTGGGGAACAGGACATCTGTGTGGGGAGAGTACAGAATGTACAAAAGCCAGCTCACAGTGAGTCCGAGACTTAAATGTAAGACCCAAAACTATAAAACTACAAAAAGGAAACCTGAGAAATTCTTTGGGACCTTGGTCTGGGCCAAAGATTGTCTTGTATGATCCTAAAAATGGGCAATAAAAGCAAAAGTTGACACATGAGATAAATTCGTCTAAAGCTCTGCACAGCAGAGTAAGCCACAGAGTAAAGACCTATAGAGTAGGAGAAGATATTTGCAGATTTCATCTGAGAGAGATCAGTAGGCAGAAGAAACTAAATTCCACAGCAGAATAACAAATCATTAAGGCCGGGCATGGTGGCACACACCTTTAACCCTGAAAGCTGAGGCAGAGGATCACTGTAAGTTTGAGACCAGCCTGGTCTACATAGTGAGTTCCAAGGCAGTCTGAACTACATAGTGAGACCCTGTCTCAAAAAACAAACAAAAACATTAAAAATGTGCAAATGGTCTGAGTAGACATTTCTCAAAAGAAGATAAATGGCCAAGTATATGAAAAAATGCTTAACATTACTAATCATGGGGAAATAGAAGTGAGGACCACAGTGAGATTCATCGTATCCCCACTACGGTAGCTGTTACCAGAAAGACAAAACCAACAGTGATAACAGATACGAAGAAGAGAGAGGACTCGCACACTGTTGGAGTGTGAATTATTATGGAGTTCTCAAACTAGAAAGAGTTACCATATTGTCCAGCAGTCCCCTAGCATATGTCCAAAAGAAATCAGTATGTTAAAAAATAATTTTGAACTCCTGTTTGTTGCAGCACTATTCACAGTTCCCAAAGCATTGCTTCAGCCTGCATTCCCCGCAGTATAGATGAATGGATACAGAAAATGTATCCAATGGTAGGATATTATGCGGCCGTTACAAAGAATGGAATCCTGTCATTGTGGCACCATGGGTGGACTGGGTGACACGTACCATGTTAACTTGTCCCCACGGCTTCATCCACTGTGGCACATGCACGACCGTGATGTTCCGCTGGTCCTCATCTTTGTTTCTGTTTTTGCTTTATGGCTAATTTATCTACTGCCTGCAGACTTCTGTGTTCTTATTTTATACTCTCTGTGATCCATCTATGGCTTTCACCACTTTCATGCCAGTAACTTAAAAATCTGTGTCTCCAGACACCGACTTCCATTACGTTTCAGATCAGTATGTCCAGTCGTATCTTCTGACCTCTGTGTTCTGTGGCTGTCTCATAATCAACATGCCCGGGAATTTCAGTTTTAACTTACCAACAAAGTCTTGAATTATAACCCGAATGCCGGCTGCTTGTGCTTCTAGATGGCCTCAGATACAGATTTAGGCCTTAGCTCTGGAAGGAACCTGACAGCATCCTTTCCTGTGTGGGGTTAACGGAGAAATCCTGGGCCAGTGTCTCTCTCAGGACACCGAGATCTGCCTGTGTACGGGAGAGAGACTTTGAGGGCTGTGTAGAGGAGCCTGAGCCTCCATTGATTGGCCAATTTGAGTTACAACCAGCCTTTGGGAACAAGTTGAGTTCGTAAGTCAAGGGTCCACTGTACTAGGGCTCCCAAGTGAGGAAACTGGTTCCACCCAGGTTTTCTCCTCCCTCCCATATCTTTTATATCCCATCAAACCCCCAAATCCTACTGTCCACCATATCACAGCCACTTACCGCCTCGGCAGGGTCAGCTCTGGGCTGGGCCTCGGCCTCTGGTCACAGTGCTGTCAGTCTGTGCTGCCTCACGGGGGGGTCTGAAGTGTCACTCAGACCTCGGTGTCTCTGCCGAGCCTTCTCTGGTTCCCTTCGGCTGTGGAGGCACCTTTGTCCCATGTGCCCCCAATACCTTAGTTTGTCAACGGTGTCACAGTTGTTGCAGTGTTAGCATTGTTTACCTGCTGATGCTTCCTTTTAGAATCCTTTAGTGCAGAGAATGTGCTTTTCACGTTGTGTGCCCTGTGTGTTCACTAATTAAGGTAGTCTGAGGTATCTCTTCCAGGCCACAAACATGCTACTGAATTATACGGCTTTATAGTGTGTTCGGTTTGATACTGCCGAAGAAGACTGCTGCTTGGAGAAAAATATAGCACAGTTGTGAGTGACTCTGTGTATGATTCTGTTTCAGCGCTAATCAAGTCTGATCTAAGAAGACACAACATAAATCTGGGCATCACAAATGCTGAAATTAAAGCTGTAAGTAACGCTTCCTTTTCTGACTGCACAATTGAGGAAAGTGTACCTGGAGTAAGTGTGAAGCCAGTCTTATTTCGTCGGCTTTTTTTTTTTTCTTTTCTGAGTCAGCTGGTGATCTGTTAAAATAGCGGGTGTGGCTGCGGGACATTTATTATGTTCTGCTTCTCCCTGCAGGTGCCAGTCGACAGCCCCACAGATGAGAAGGCAGAAGCCGTCACATTATCCGTCCAGTCAGAGTCCTCCATCTGAAGTGGAAGGAAGTTGTTATCCCTCGGTCACTGGCGTGCAGCGTGCTGATCTGTGGGGAGAGGTGAACAGGGAAACTCAGTGTAGAAGTGACAGGGACAGACATTTACTTGAAAATTACTCATGAGCTCTAAATGAACAATTATTTTGCTTAATTATTTAAGCAATATTTTGCTCAAAATACTTTTGCTTACATCGTGTTAACACTACCATTCATCTCATTGGGGTCCCATTTTCAGTCATGAATCATGTCTGGGAACGGAGGCAGGAGGATTTACAGGTTTGAGGTTGGTTTGGACAACTTAACGAGGCCCTGTCTCGGAGGAGAGGGGCCGGAGTGAAGCTTGGCACTGGGGCCAATCCCCGGGTGTCCTGGTCCTCTGAAGAGAGTGGGAGCTTGGGAGACTTCATGCAGCGATGCTGGGGCACGGTTCTCGTCAGAGTCCGTGCAGCTCACAGAAATGTTTGGTGGGGCCAGGTGCCCCCACTGTGCTGCCCGCCTGGCAGTGCGCGTCCTGGCTGATTGCGAGACAGCGAGAGCCCCCGTTTCTTGTTCTTGTACAGTGCTGTGTAGCAGGTCCTTTCGGTGACCACAGAAGCTGTTCTGTGTTCGATCCACACAGGATTGGTCGTAGGATTGTGTCCCATTTAAGCAAGGGAGCCAGCCGCAGGGCGCGTTGCCTTCTGTGCTGCCTTCCCACCATGGATAAATGCTAACACCGTAGTTTTCAGTCCAGCTTGAAACAAGTTTTATACCCAGTGTCCTTTTGTAGTACGTTTATTCAATATGTAACTTTCTAGCAAGAAAATTCATCCTACGATTTTATGGCCATTTCATGATTTCTCGCATCATTGCCCTACAATGTTGCCTTGAAGATGCGTAACTTCTGATGGTCCTGGTGTCCCCGTGGAGTGGAGACCTTGAAAGGCTGACCGTCCTGATTGTGCAGAGTCCTCTGCCTGCAGGTTCTCCTCAGGAGGCCTGCGCCCAGCAGGAGCCCTGCACCAGGGCCTAGGCCTCCATCCTTTAGCACCGGGCATTGCTCGACCGCAGGCCCCCGCCGCTGTGCTGCGAGCTTGGGTGAGCAGGGCCAGATGCACCTTTCACAGTGCCTACCGCTGCGTTCTGTTTACAGCGAGAATCTAAATGTCGTCCGTTTCCTGGCTTTAAGCTCAGAGGAAACGTCTTTAAGTAGGGATGTTTGCTGCACCACAATATTTATGTTATGTCCTCATGCACAAGAACCCCAATTGGGAAATCAATGACAGTTTTGATTAAAGTGGAATATGTATTGTGATTTAAATTGAGACTATAATATTATCTGTAATCAAAAAACTAAATTATGTAGAGTCTGACCCTAGAGAATGTATTCGGTTACCAAAGGAACATAGCTAAGAGTCAAGACTCTGGTTCTGTGCCCTGGGTGTGTTTCTGTCTCCCTAACTCTGGGGAAGCCTTTCCCTCTCCAGGCAGTTTTCCCAACCCATGGAATGTGTTCACTTTGATCTCAAAGATATTTTTATAAAATTTTAAGTACCATCATTGCAGAGTAGACTAAATCAGTCAACAACTCAAACAGAAAACAATTCCCTGGACAATTGAAAAAGCAGTCCTGATTTTTACCTGGTGGATGAAGGGATTTCAGGTCTTTAGTCAGCAGCCGCAGGCCAGGCGGAACGCGCCCAGACGCCAGCTGCTTTTGACGTTTGCATCGTGATTCAATTGGTCAGAAGTGGATTTTAAAGTCCCTCCCAATAATTATTTTTATTGTTAAATAATAACATGCTTTCTGAGATTTTGAACAAATTACAGCTTAAACTTGGAATACTTTATTTCTGAAACATACGCACGTGTTTTGTTTGTCCTTGTTCAAAAGTGAGTATAATGAGTGACAAAAATATAAAATGAATTGGTAATTTTCTTTGTTTATTTGTGAAAGTTATGTCAGACAAGAATGTCATGATTGTGTTGTAACTTTCAAAAGTAGCGTAGGTAATCACATGTGTATTTTAGTCAAAGGGTTTTGGTAAAGAAACACTGGATACTTTCAGAAGCTATTGCACTTGTAAATGTTGCAAATGTAGCTTTTGTTTTTATGAGAGTGTTAGAAATGTCTTTTAGAAATGTCTATATGTAAAAATACGTTTGTGGATTAGCTGGAAGAATGCTTGGTCTTATGTTATTATCCATGTTCTAAATTTTGCTCTTTTTACAGTTTGCCCATATGCTTGTTCTTCATTATTTCAGACTCAAAATAAATTTATTTTTTTAATGTTCACTTTGTATGCCTGAAAAAAAAATAAAAAGATTTCTGGTACTTAGTTACACCCCGGAGTCACAGTGGGCCAGGGAGCAAAAGGGGTCACTTACGGAACACAAGGAAACGGAGGCCTCCATGGGTTGGGGATAGAACAGAAATGGAAATATTTTACTCATTTAAAAATAACTTAAGAGCGCCCCGAGGCGAGAATACTGGTAGGAGCGTCTGCCCTCACGTTCACTTGATGACCACCTCCGGCGGGACCACCTTCGGGGAGTCGGGGGGCCCTGGGGGCCAACAATCCGAGCACCAGAAAATCGCAACGGATGCATCGAAGAGGCTAAAAGCATAGCCCAGTTTGGCGCCCAGAAAGACTGCCAGTGTGTGGCTTTCTACCTGGAGGACACGTTTCCCACGGCCGCGTGGGGTCCCCAGGGTGACTGGCAGGGCTGGGGCGGAAGGAAGGCCGGGCTAAGTGCTGGCCCCTCCCCAGGCTGCGCTGACCCACACACCCTGTGCAGAGCCGCAGGTGACTGTGGAGGAGGCAGCACCTGACACTGCAGGGTCGGAAGAAGCCTCCCAAAGTACAGGGACTCTGGCTTCACCCCAGGGAAAACAACAGGGAGCTCTGAGCACCTGGCCAGGCTTTGCTGGACTGAGGGTGACACAATTTTAAAACTGTCCCAGAGAGAACAGGAGTAGCGGAGGCAAATCCATAGAGTCTGAGTCCAAATCCCTGGCCAGCCAATCAGCAAAGACTAGAAGAGGTGGGTTTTCTTCATAAAGACAGCAGCACAAGACTCCAAGAGCACAAAAGCAGCAAGTGAATATACTGCAAAAGAGCACAATTCTATGCCAGTAACAAAGACCAAAGAAACAGATCTGTAAATTACTCCACTAGAAGCTGCCCGCTGGGGCACATGCCTGTAATCCCAGCACTCTGGAGGCTGAGGCAGGAGGATTCCAAGTTCAATCACAGCCTGGGCCACTCAATGACTCAGCAAGACCTTGTCTCGAAAGATATAAAGGGCTGGGGTGTAGCTCATGAAAAGGGCCAATCACCACAATCCCAATCACCAAGCACCAAGCACCACAAAATAAATAACTTCACCTGGAATTCAGTTGACCCATAATAGAAGCTGTGAGGGCCAGGGATTTGGCTCAGTGGCACTACACTTGCCTCACAAGCACAAGGTCCTGAGTTCGATCCCTGGAACCAAATAATAATAGTGATAAGATTCTGCGAGAAAAAGGAAGCAGGTAGAATAGGAGCTTAAGGATCAGAGGCGTAGTGAGAAAATAATTGGTAGTGCTAAAGAAATGTGAGCTCTGGGGGTGTTTCCACGTGCCGTATAATAAATAGAAACTTTAACATTTCTCAGATTCCACTGAGAATCACTAAAATTACCTTGTAGCATTTCATTGGCAAAAACTTCCATCCAGGAAAATAAAAAATACCATTCTTAAGCAAAGAAACAAAAGTTTTCTCTCTCCTGCCCACCTGTCGCAGCTTCCTGAGCCAGGCCACCTGCGCTCCATATTCCTTCCTGCTCTCTCCAAGAAGAGCTGCCTTGAAGTGATTTCGGGTGGGACAGGGTCCCGGGGGTGGCCAGTATCACGGATCCCTCAGGAGAGGCCACCGAGCGGGGTGGGCTGTGACCTCCACATGGCACCTGGTGGGACAAGGCCGGGCCAGGGGCGAGACCCTTGCAGAGGGAGGAACTTGTGGCCCCGAGAGAAGGGAAAGGGTTAGCTAAGGGAGAACATGGCCACCTTGCCTCCCGTTTAGATGGTGATGTGTTAGGCCTTCTGGTTATAGATTCTCACCTGCACTGGTCTTTCCATTGCTTATTTAAGCTCGCGATGAAAAGATAACTACAAAGGGGACAAACCGGCAACAGCCAGTAGAAACCCGAATTCTGCTCGGGCCCCTACACTGTGGTGGGCGAATGGCGCTTGAGCTGGTTTCTGTTCCTGGGGAACACGTGATTCCTCCAAGGACCGAACTGCCCCAAACCCTGTGAGCAGCTGGTGCTCTAAGTCTTCTGAAAGGCTAAAGTGAGACCGAGATAAGGGCAAGAGGGGTTTCAGTGAAAATCCTAAATGCTCCAAAACATTTTGACCCCAAACCAAGACAGATAGGCTCTGGTTGGGGTGGGATTTATTGGTGGACAAGGATTCCCGCTGCAGAATCAGGAGTTTAGTTCTTACGCGTGGCGTGGATTTGTTCCCTGCTATAGTTTGGACGCTGAGTGTCCCCCAGGGTCCATGTGTTGAAGGCTCTGTCTGAGGGTGGAGCTGATGGGAGGTGCTGCAGACCCTGAGGGTGGGGGGCCTGGTAGGAGGTCCTTAGGTCACCAGGGTTATGGCCTGAAAGGGCCCAGGTTCACGATACATGTGGCTTCCTCTGTCCTCCAAGATGCATCACCTCTGCCCGAGGCCAGAGGAACGGGCTGCACCATCTTGGTCTGGAGACTCTGGAACCATGAGCCAAAATAACCTTTTCTCTGTATGTGTGAATCAGTTCGAGTCCTTTGTTACAGGAGCTTGAAGCTGACTGATACACCTTTGGAGCACTTGGCAGTATTCTCAAGGCAGCTTCCTTATGTAGTTAGATTGTGCTGTTTGTGTGCCTCACTGTTGCCTCAGCTGCACCAGGAGCTTTGGGGAGCACACATCATGGTGTGCAGGCTGTTTCTACATGGCCTTTGAGAGCCACACGTCTTAGATTTGAAAGTGGACTGTCTGTGATCTTGGAAAAGTAAAGAAAACACTCAGGATTTCTGTTTCTTCCTTTATTAAATAAGATAGTGGTTCCCAGTACTCTGGGAGCTGAGCAAAAGGATGGTAAGTTTGAGCCCAGCCTGAGCCTGGGCAAATCTGTGACTTAGCGAGACCTATCTCAAAATTTAAAAATAGGCAGGCATGGTAGCTCAAGGCTGTATTTCCAGCACTCAGGGAGGCTGAGGCAAGAGGATCTCTGCAAACTGAAGACCAGCCTGGGCGACATAGTTTCATATATATATAGTACTGGGGATGTGGCTCAGTCTGAAGGTCCTGGGTTCAATCCCCGGTGTTGTCAGTAAGAGCAGCTTGTAGGTTTGTGGTGAGGATGTCCCCAACATGTTAGGTAGGAAAAACTCATTTTCAGAATTGGCCTTTATTAGAACATTGGCTCCGATAGTGCCCACTAAAGAGCAAGTGGCTCATTTGGACGGACACCGTGCTCCCGCAGCGCGGGCCTCAGTTCTGTTGTGCCTGTTACTTTCCTCTCATTGCTGAGACAAAGTACCAGAAACTCAAAGTTAAACCTCCACCCTGTAGAGGTCTCAGCCCTAATCGCGTGGCTGCAGGGCAGGGCGGCACAGGCATCGCAGAGGAGAACCGGCTCGCCGCCCAGAAGGTAGCAAAGCCCCTTTTGCGCTACTCTGACTGCGGAGGGCAGTCAGGCCCCGACCTCAACGGCCGGGCGGGGAAGAGCCGGGCGCAGAGCCCGCGGCGAAGCGTGAGGAAGACGGGCCGGGGGAGC